ATTGTGGTTAAGAAGCATCACTCAGTGTTCTGTGAATGCTGCCTCAGGCTATGACTACATACGCTGTGGCTTATGGAGTCAACAAGTATGATCCATGCACAAGAGAGTAATCAAAACCTTTGGGGGAACTCAAATGTTTGCAGGAAAGTGAAAACAGGCCCCAAAAAGAAATGAGGATGGAACATGATTACTAGCTGAAGAACGCTGACTGGTTCTTGGGGAAATTAAAAACCAAAGCCACAGGAGAGTAGAGGGTCTGGAGTCCTGGAGCATCCCACTATATTACAGCTGAGATCCCAACCATTTCCTCTCAATCTCATCTGATAAGTCGCTGTTAGGATGCCAGTCAGCCATCAGAAGATTGACAGCAACTCCCCAGACATGGAGTCAACATCCCTGTCTCATTCCTCTGCCTCAGGTGGGATCTTTCTGTCTGAGGCACAGACATGAGCACATGTTTCATGGAGTTCTCTCAGCCTTTCTCTCTCTCTCTAAAGGGGGGAAAAAGTCATTTTTAAATCCATGCCTTAGAGGAGGAGGAGGAATATTCCAGGGAAAAGAAAATCAAGAGGATGCTGAGGATAAGCAGAGCTTTTCTGAGCCTCAAAAGCAACCTTGGGCATGCCAGAAAGGCTACAAACAAGTCAAGGTAACATTAACCAGAATGGACTTCGGATTCAAATCATTGTTGTACGAGTAGACTGAAGTAAGCAAGTTCAGCTAGAACTATTTCTCAGGATTTCATATTTTATCTGAATCTGTGTCCACTAGTTGACAGCCCTGTCTCTGAGATTTTTTTATCTAAGGTTCAAATCTCTGTATGCAAAAGAGCAAATAGTAAACTAAGGTCTTGTGATCTTTGGGCCACAGATCCTGCCCACATAGATCTATGACCGTCTCCTCATAGTATTTTACAAGAGATTTCCTTTAATAGACTGTTTCTGATTTAGTTACACTTAAATGCCTTATTTTGTTCCCTTGTAACTGACTTGCATTGCAAGTTTTAGGTAGAAAAGCTCATATAAGTTTAACGTTTACCTTTTTATTGCCTTTAATTTTTTAAAAAGTTTATTTTTAAATTGTCCTTTTGTCCTTTTGTTCCAGCTCTTCAATCACAGCTTTTCGGTCAAAGCTACAGGGCAGAAGTTGGCATGACAGAGTTCATTCTCCTTGTTAATTATCATCATCATTCTCAGTTTACTGGCAAGTAAGTGTTCAGGATATGGACTATCTGTCCCACATGCTGGGGTTAAGAGGACGGTGCCATATAAAGGCATTCCCTGAACAAACAGGGTGGTTGCAACCATAAATTACCAAGGTGCTGCACCAAGGCAGAAAGATGGGCCAAACCCAAGAGGATTATGCCGCCCAGAGTCACTTTGTGTGAGATGGGCATCTATATAAATACGATAAATAAAAGTAAATAAAATTTCTGGGACCAGAGGGTTGAAACCCTACCCCTTCCCTTTCACATATGGGCTTAGCCTTTACTACTATAGCCTCATTTCCCATGTGGAAAAAAATGGATAATTCTTCATGAATATACACTGAAGATGAAAAAAATCATTTTATCTACTCTATAGTACTCATCAACAAATACCAAGTCCATGCTTGCATTTGCCGTCTACTGTACCCAGTTGTGGTGCTGGAGAAGACTCTTAAGAGTCCCCTGAACTGCTAGGAGGTCAAACCAGTCAAT